TTTTCACATCATTGAGCCTGCCCCTCCCCCCACCACTTTCAGGATTCTCAGGGTATTGCAAGATTGGGGTAGAATCTTGTCTTTATGTAAAACTCTAATATTTGTGCATCATGGATTGCTTTGCATTAATTCCGATTTTTTAAAAAATATTGCACTAAAGTATTATTCATCTAAATTACTGAGTTTTTTGTTGCCCTCTTAAATTTTGCACCCAAGGCTACTACCTGACTTGCCTCACCCTAATCCTGGCTCTGGTTCGGTCTTGTTTTTTGATTTTCCAGTCTTAAAATCCTTGCCTTTTAATTGCAGCTTTTAGTACATTTACATTTTATGGAATTATTGATATGGTCAGGTTAAGATCTATCACATCGTTATATATTTTCTATTTGTTCTTTCTGGTTTTTGATCCTGTTTCTCCTTTCCCACCTTCTTGTGAGTTAACCAAATATATATTAATACTCAATTTTTGTTTTTCTATTGTCTTTTCAGCTGGACCTGTTTTCATTATTTTCTTTATCAGTTGCCCTGGTGATGATGAAATGCATCTTTAACTTATAACAGTCAATTTAAAGTTAATATTGTGCCATTTCACATAAGATAGAAAAAACTTGCAACCATATCTTTTTATTTAACAAAGTCTGTCCTTTGTGTTATTGTTTTGTATGTTATATCTACATACATTATAAATCCCACAATATAACTTGATCCTTTTGATGCGTGTTTTCGGATATTTTAGGGAGGATCTACAGTAATCCTTACTCTAGGGCTGAAGTAGCCCTACTCTTAATGCATGGCCTTTCTGGGAGTCTATTTCTCAGTGGGGTATTGGATGAGGACTCTCCACCCAGGCTGGTCAAAATTCCTATGTCTCCCAGAATTGTGCAACCATTGGAATTTCCATTCATTTCACATAAGCCCAGGAGTGTCCTTTGTGTGGTCTCACAGTGTCTTGCTTTAAGCCTGCACAACTTAGTATTTGGCCAAAGACCTAAAGCAACGCCTATGGTGATTTCAGAACTCTGCCTCTACAAAGTTCCTTTCTCTCCACCACCATGCGTCATAGACTGAAGTTCCAGCAGCCCCAAAATCTGACCTCTCCCTCCCCAGCTCATCTATGTTGCTATTCTTTGCCAAGGCTCCACTTCTCTACAGGGAGGTCCTGAAACTGACCCAGGCAGAAAGAAGGCATAATCACAGGGCTCACTATGTGCTTCCCCTCACTTGGAGGTGATCGCACTCCAGTACAGTGGGGCGTAGAAAACACTGGGTAGCCTTGAAAAATATGTCTGTGTAATGACACCAGCTTCAGTCTCAGGGAAAAAAAAAAAAAAAAAAAAGCCGGAATTGACAGATGGAGACAAAAAGACTGTGTTTACTTAAATATACAACGTATCTTTCCTTGTCTTTTGTGATCTTGACATTTTTGAGGAATACTGGTTAAGTACTTTGTAGAATGTCCCATAATTTGGGCTTCTTTGATATTTTCTCATGGTTGCACTGGAGTTATGAGATTTGGGAAAAGAATACCACAAAAGTGAAATGCCCTTTTCCTTGCATCATATCAGGGGGTAGGTGATAACGATATGTATTACTGGTGATGTCAACGTTCATCTCTTGGTTAAGGTAGTGTCTGCCAGGTTTCTCCATTGTCATGTTACTATTTTCCATTTTCCATATTCTTTTCACTAGAAGCAAGTCCCTAAGTCCAGCTCACATTCAAAAGGAGGAGGGGAATTAAGTGCCACCTCTTGGAGGGATGAGAATCAAATATTTAATATAAATTTTGGGGCTGATATTTAAGGCTGTGCATCTGTTGTATTTAACCTTAAAGTTTTGCCCACTAGTTTTATCATTTGGTAGATCTTGTCTCCAGCAATTATTACTGTGGTATTCTAACAGAAATTTTCTACTTCCTTCATTCTTTCTATATTTATTTGGAATTCTTACGTAAGGAAGAGTTGTCCCTCCTCTAGCATTTATTTATTTATTCAATCATATCGTTTATATAAGTATGGAATTATAGATGTTTAATTTATTTTTTGGATTATAATCCAATACTATAATTTTGTTGTTGCTGCTGCTGCTGCTCAAATTGTTCCAGCCTTGGCCATTGGGAGCACTTTCAGGTTGGCTCCTGTATCATTACGATATACTCATTTTTTTCTGGTACTTCCCTACTTTCTGGCATTACAGGATGCTCCAGGCTCGTCTTGTATTTCTCTGTTCCAGCCTTAAAATCAGCCATTTCTTCAGGGAGCCCTAGTTCTTTTTATTGGAGAATGGCATGTAGAAACCAAGATCTGGGCACTAGATGTACTCGTCGCTTCTGGAATAGCAATATTTCTAGGCCTTCTCAGTGGACAGACTGAGAAACTGTCAGCAGAGACCAAGAAGGTATGACAACTAAACGCAACGTGCTATCTGTGGTAGACAGATTCTAAGATGCCTCCACAGTGGTCCCTGCCTACTGATATTCACGGTCTTGTGTAATCCCCTCCCTTTGAGTAACTTGATTCTAACCAACAGAATGCCTAACAGTGAGGGGATGTCACTTCCATGATTAGATTACAAGAGACTGTAACTTCTGTTTTGCTAGCTGACTCTCTGTCTTGCTGGCCTTGATAAAGCAAACTACCAAGCTGTGAGCTGCCTCATGGAAAGGCACATGCAGCAAGGATTGAGGGCACCTCTGGCTGACAGCCCGCAAGGAACTGGGGCCCTCCGTTCATCACGCTGCAGAGAACTGAATCCTGCCAACCACCACATGAGTGCAGAGCAGATCCTTCCCCAGTCACACTTTCAGAGGAGTCCTCAATCCTGCATGACACCTTCCTTGATTGTGCCCTGGTGTGAGACACTAAAGTTGAGGATCCAGCTGAGCCCACCCTGGACCTCTGACTCAGAAAACCTGGGAGATAATGAACATGTGTTGTTTTTAGCCACTGAGATTGTGGTAATTGGTTGCACAGGAATAGATAACTAATATACTATCTTTATTAGGGTCCTGGAACAGCAAAGACATTAGTGAAAAAACTGGTGAAATCCAAATAAAGACTGAAGTTGAGTTAATAGTACTCTGGCAGTGTTATTTTCTTAGAATTGATAAATATATGTGCACATGTAAAGCGTTAACATTCGGGGGAGGTGAATGATGGGTATGGAAACTAATGGTTCTAATGGCTCTTCTATAAATCTAAAATTGTTTCAGAATAAAAATTTTAAAAACACTTCTGGGCATTACATGCTATATTTACAAAAAAAAAGAGAGAGAGAGAATATAGCAAAATTGAGGAGAAAAAATAAAGGTATCAGGGAGCCACCAGTCTGGTGACAAAGACTCAGCAACCAGGCCTGAGGGGTTGCACTGTGATAAGTTAGAAAGAGGTAGCAAGTGTGGTGGTCACAGTCTGCTGGGGGAGTCATGGGTGACCATGCCTGGTCCCAGCCCTCAGAGGTCACAGTCCGGTAGGAGAAATGCAGGAACCAGGCCCGATGCCCATCCTAAGAGTCAGAGTTGGGTTGAGGATTCCAGGAAAATTTTCTTACCCCAGGCTTCAAAAAAATATTTGTGTCTGTTCACCTCCATTTAAATTCTCCTAGGAGCTGGCTGGTTAGCTCACTTGGTTAGAGCATGTGCTGATAACAAGCACCAAGGTCAGGGGTTTGGATTCTTGTACCCGCCAGCTGCCAAAAATAAACAAATCTTCCCAAAATTTCAATGTCTGTTCCAAAATTGAGTTGCTTGCCTGTTCCTCTACATTTATGGTTTTTGTCTTTGCCCTTTCCACCACCCTGAATACCTCTGTTGTCTACCAGGAGATACCCTCACGTATAGTCATGCGCTGCATAACGTTTCAGTCAATGACGGATCGCATATATGATGGTGGTCCCATAAGATTAGTTGTAACATCGAAGCACGATCACTTTATTTCTTTATACATTTAGTGTAGCCTGAGTGTACAGTGTATAAAGTTTACAGCGGTGTACAATAGTGTCCTAGGGCTTTACACTCACTCACTGACTCACCCAGAGCAGCTTCCAGTCCTGCAAGCTCCATTCATGGTAAGTGCCCTATACAGGTGTACCATTTTTTATCTTTTATACCATATTTTTACTATACCTTTTCTATGCTTAGACATTTTTTTTTTTTTTTTTTTAAAGATGACCGGTAAGGGGATCTCAACCCTTGGCTTGGTGTTGTCAGCACCACGCTCAGCCAGTGAGCAAATCGGCCATCCCTATATAGGATCCGAACCGGTGGCCTTGGTGTTATCAGCACCACACTCTGCCGAGTGAGCCACGGGCCGGCCTTGTTTAGACATTTTTGGAGACACAAATGCTTACCACTGTGTTACCATTGCCTACAGTATACACTTATAGTCACATGCTGTACAGGTTTGTAGCCTAGGAGCAATAGGCTATACCATATAACCTAGGTGTGCAGTAGGCAGTATCACCTAGGTTGGGGTAAGTACACTCTGGGATGTTCCCACAACGTTGAAATCGCCTAAGGACACATTTCTCAGAACGGATCCCCGTCGGATCCCTGTTGTTAAGCAACACAAGGCTATATTACCTTATCAGTTTCGAAAGTGAACTTGCAAGAAAATCCCCTCTGCCCTCGGCGACATTTTTCAATCCAGAGCCCTCACTCATCTAACTTGACTGCTTAGCACTTCTGCCATTTATAGGCTGCATATCTTCAGAACAGTTAGGTTCTATTGCTCAGCTTTTTCAAACACGAGTTGGGAAGAAGCAGAACTTTCTGACTAACATTCCTTAGACAAATAAATTAGGTGAAACACTTGCAGCAGTTAGAACAGTGCCTGGCAGGTCGTTATGAGGACTGATTGCTTTTGTTTGCAGGTTGTTTTCCTCCAGCCCCTCTTCCTATCTAAATTCTTTTATCCATCCCTCTGAAATTTGTTTCTTCTAAGAACTTTTGTCCCTGGCCTGCATGAGTCATGTTCACTGCACAGTCAAAAACAAGGACAGGAGACTTTGCCAAAGTTAAAAGCGCATCAAACACACCTAGCACTTTATTATCTTAATCACAAACCTACAGACTACTCAGTATACCTTCCTTGGGGTCTGGCCCTAGCAATCCAAAGCTGACAGCCTTCAGTGTAGGTAGTAGGAGGGATGGGAATGGGCAGGGAGTATCTCTTGATAACTCCGAAATGGGGGGATTCCTCTAAAATGGGACTGGGTGGGGGCCAGAGGTTGGGGGTGACCTAGCTTCTGAGTAGGGGTCAATAAAAAAATCAGATAAACAAATAAGGGGGGTACAATATGCTTCTGAAACCTTCCTCCAAGCCTCTGCCTGGGTGGAGGAGGCTTCCACTTTCTCCTGGGCTAGGGAACTCCTGGGAATAACCCCTTCCTTCATCCTGTTCCTCTGCACATTGAAAAAGAGTGCTGGGATACTGGTTCTTGAAACTTGGACTCAGTCCCTGCTAATCTCCATCACCTTTGCAAACTGCCCCTCAAGGAAGAAGGCAGGACTCTACCCAAGGGTGGGGGGGCCAGATCTAGGTCTGGAAAGTCAATCCAGAAGACTTCAAGATCTGCCCTTTTTCCCAAGAGCAAGGTGGGCTCAGAGCCCTCCTAGGTTAGGTCAGGTTGGTCCCAGGTTAAGGTGGGGGAGCTTAGGTACCACTCCTCCCTGAAGTGTGAAATGCTTGGATGGGATGTTGCTAAGGGACAAGGGTGGGGCTGTGATCTCTACATACGGTAGCCTGATCTTACTGAGTCCTCTACACCTGAAATACCTGCACTGGGCTGTTCCTATAGGGAAGAGGCAGGGCCTGGCTCCTCCACTGGAGCCAGGTCTCATCCTTACTTTTGTTCCTTGCCTGGGCAGGGCAGGGCAGGGTTCATGGGAAAGGGGCAGGGCTTAAGCCCCCAGGGGTCGGACCTCTATCATTTTCACTCCTCTTCCATGCCAGGATGTACAAAACTGGCAGTTCCAAGAGAAGGGATGGAGCAACATCCTGACACCTCCTTTTCCCAGGAGACTTGGCTAGGACAGTCCCTAGGGGACAGGGGCAGGACCTCATCTTGTCTCCTTCCCTTATTTGGGCAAGGGAGGGTCCCACAGGGTAGGGGTGAGGCCATGATCTCCAGGGGATAGGCCCTGATCTCACCACCTTCTCGTGCCTTCTCCCTCTGAAATACCTGTACTGAGCTGTTCCTTTGAGGAAGGAGTGGGGCCTCATCTGACTCCTCCTCCTTGCCTGATTACAGGGGTGGGGCCTGATCACATCTCCTCTTCCCCCAGAATACCTGGGCAGGGCAGTCTCATGGGAGGGTGGGGGAAAAGATGGGGCCTCATCCTGACTTGTCCTCCTTTCCTAGGTGGGGAAGTCCCAGGGGAGGAGTGAGGCCTGATCAGGACTCCTCCTCCATGCTGAAGCTGCTGCGGCGGCTGCTGGCCTTGGAGACAGCCGGGGATACTGATGAGAGCAGGGGGTCGGAGGCAGCCCGCAGTGGGGACAGGGCACCCCCCGACAGTCCTCCCACCACCCCCTCCTCCTCCTCCATCAGAATGTCCTCCAGCCCCAGGTGGAAGGGGTCTCCCAGGTCCCCCAGGTGATCACTGGGAAAGTGCAGGTCCAGAAGGGCATCCGAGGGTGGTGCTGGGGGCTGCTGATGGGGAGCATTCTGGGTAGATCCCCCCCCTACATGAAACGTCGCTGTGCCTGGCCTGCTCTCCTCCTCAATGTCCAGCTGCTCTGGCTTGAGACTGTCAGAGGCCGAGGTTGTGGCCAGGGACAGTAGCCCTGGGGTGGGAGGTACCGGCAGACCATGGATCTGAGCCTGCAGTTCTAGCTCCTGCAAAAAGTAGGGGATGGGTGCAGGATAAGATGGGGTTCACAGTCCCTCAGAGGCAGATGAGTGTAATGATTAAAAGGGGAGGCTGCCTGGGTTTGAGTTCAGCCTCTGCCACTCGCTGGTTGTAAAACTTTAGGCAAGTCGCTTAACATCTGAGCATCAGTCTCAATCTGTAAAATGGGTATAATAATGGTCCCAATCTCATAGGGTTGTTGTGAGGATCAAATGAGTTAATGGGTATAAAGTTCTTGTCACAGTGCATGGCACAAGAGAAATGCTATGTACATTTGCTAATATTCATTATTATTCTTGTTAATGTTATGATTATTACTATCATCATCATCATCATCATCATCATCATGAGAGTCAGGAAGCCTGGGGATCCCCCAAGTATGCCAGGAAGGGGAACCCTGGCCTGTTTTTCCTCTGCCTCTGCCTGCAGGAAGCTCCCCTCACCCCTGCCACCATCTCCTCCTTCCAGACCTGAATTCGGAGCTGCAGGCTGCGGTTGGCCTGCTCCAGGGATCGCTGCCGGCTCTCCAGGTCTTTGGAGCGCTGTTGCTCCTTCTGCAACTTGCGGATGTAATCCACAGAAGCCTTCAGAATGGTGCCCTTGTTCCAGCGCATCTCCCTATGGGGCCCGGTGGGGCAGGGGAGAAGGAAGTGCTGCATATGGAGTCTCTTGAGAGCTGAGTGAGGGGGGATTGCACCAGGTAGATGGAGCACCCCACCACATGAAGAACTTGAAGTGAGGGTACCTCAAGGGTATGGAGTGTTCAGATGAAAACTCTCTGTCTGAAACCTTCCAAAGGTGCCCCTTCACACCCAAGTCTTTGACTCCCTCTCTGACCTGACCCCTTATGGCTCCTCTCTTAGCTACATCCCTCTGATTCATCTCCTTTCAGCCGCATTTGCCTTTCAGTGCTCCTAGAACACGGGAAACCATTCCCATCTTGGGGCCTCCATCCCAGCTCTGCCTTCCCCCTGGAACATTCTTCCCCCAGACACCCATGTAGCTCCTTGCCTTCCCTACTTTGGCTCTTTATTCAAATGTTCCCTGGTCAGTGGAGGCCTGCCCCATCCCTACCCTCCTCACCCCAAACTGTGACTCTCCCACTATTCTCCTATCTTCCATTCTTGATTCCTCTCCATAACACTCATTGTCATGGATTTCACAAGATTTACTTCTTTATCTTGTTTACCGTCTGTCTGCCCCCACTAAAACATCAGTTCCACTAGGTCAGGGGTCTTTGTTTGGTTCCCTCTGGTATCCTCAGGGCCTAGCACAGTACCTCACACAAAGCAGAAGCTCAATAAATAAATCTTGAATAAATAAAGGAAGTGCAAAATGAACAGAAAATGAGATGCATATGTCCTAGGAGGACTAGATGGGGCACAAGGAGGACTAGATGGGGCACACCTAAAATTTTAGGCAGGGACATGGTGAGGGTCTGTAACCCTGCTCAGGCTGAGAAAGGACCAGAGAACTACCTGGGCATGACTGCCTGACAGGCGTACCATGGAACAACTTTAGCCACACCTCCCCACCTCTCGCCCCAACTCCCACTGGTCTGGGGTCCCCAGCCCAGACTCACGGGTCACTGGACTTGGGGATGAGGGTGCCCAGCTCTTTGATCCTATCGTTAATGTTGAATCGCCTGCGACGCTCAACTTTGGAGGCAGGGAGAGAGAGAAAGAGTGGGAAAGAGTCATCAATCAGTGAAGAAGGGAACAGGGAGAAACGGGGGGTATTGCGGGCTGTTGCAGGGAAGCCCCCCACAGAGGGCCAGACTCAGAGTGAGGCGGGGCTGGGCGGCGTGTGGGCAAGCACACACACTCTCTGGCTTACTGAGGTTGTGATTGTCTTTCTTCTGCCGTTCCTTCAAAAGGGCCTTTGCCTCAGTCTCTGGAAGAGAGTGGGGGTGATCAGGGTCTCTGGGCATGGAAAGAAGGGAGCACCTGCACCTGTAGGGTTTCGTACTGACTTATTTTTAAAACTGTCTTTTTACAAGGCCATGTTGTTAAACTCAATAAGTGAGAGTAAGTGGGGAGAAAGCAGGACCATGGGGACGTATAGAAAAAGAGCAACCAGCCCCCATTTCTGTAAGCTCCAACCCCTTCCCCCACTAGAATCAGGCCCACCCCAGACCTGGTAGGCATGGGGTTCATCCCAGGTTACAGAGTGGGGGCATGGGGCCCAGACTCTGGCACTTACCGGAGATCTCCCGTTTGATGTTGGGCAGCTCGGCTGGGCAGGAGTTGCTGACAGTGATGGCTGGCGTGGCCACGCCCTGACTGCTGTACACATCAAGCAGATTCCCTGACACAGGCAGCTTGGCGCAGGGAAGGCAGAGAAACAACGGATGGGAACAGACCCCAGACTCGGCCCCTCCTCAGAACCAGGCTCCTGGCCCACCACACATTCCAAAGACTGGGCCCTCTAACACAAGGATTGGCTAACTTGGCACAAGCACCCTTTCTTCCTCTTCAAGGTGATTTCACATGGCAACAGGGAGGACAGAGCGAAGTGGACCTACCCTGCTTTGCTGGGAGACTGGAGCCTGGCCTGCTTATCATTCCCTACCAGACCCTCAAATCCCTCAGTGACCTCTGAAGCCCTTCTCCCGAACCCCAGGGCTGGCTCTGAGAAGAGATGCTGGAAAACCACCGTTCTCAGGTCTTTGTCGGCTCTTATGCGACATTCCGGTCCGTTAGCTCCTCCCAGCACAACATTCCAATCCAATCTTCTCAGCATTCTTGGAACACTCCAACCCAATCTTCTCAGACCTTGGTAAATTGTCATGGCAACATTCCATCCAAAATCTGGCCTTCTGGAGAGTTCCAACCCAATCTCCAGTGTTTCACTGTGACCAAGTCATACCACCTTATGTACCATGGTCTCCTGCTGTCATGTACCAAGATCCTGGCTCTAGTATCTTCCTGCACATTCTGATCTCCCAGAATTTCCTGTCCAACTATATTCAACTAGAACTGCTTTTATGTCAGCCCAGTTTTTTTCTCTCCTTCACATTATCCTGGATAGACTCTAGGGCAACACACTAACCTAAAAGTACAACCAAGTCCCACCTCTTGATGAGTTTTTGTCTCTTGAAACTTCCTCCACTATGCTAGATCCTTTTAATATAAGTTCCCAATCTCTAGCTGTATCTAAATCAATAAAAAGCTCTCTTTTTTGGCAGCTAGTCTTTAAGGGGATCCAAACCCTTGAGCTTGGTGTTATCAGCACCATGCTCTAACCGGGTGAACTAACTGGCCACCCCCCAAATTAATAAAAAGTTCTGATAAACGGGTACCATTTTTATGCATGCTTCTATCCTCTTGATACGTTGGAAGAAAGCAAAGCTATAGCCACTTGGTATGTTCCAAAACAAGTTATAAGATTCTTGGAATGTTCTAGAACCAGAAGGTTACAATGGTACATCACTTACTCTAGAGACTTTTATCCACTCTCTACCAGGACCCTGCCTCTTGGCACAGTTCATTGCAAGAACCTTAGTACATTCCAGTCACTACGAGGTCCAACCACTTGTTACAATCCATACCGAGTTTGGAGACTTTTGGTATGTTCCAATCACTACATGGTTTGGGTATGTCTCAATGTCCTGAATCCCTTGGTACATTCAAATTGCTACACAAGTCCCACCTCTTGGTACTTCCCACAGCAAAGCCCAAACACCTTGGTATGCCCTCATACCTCCATGAACTCCCTGCCCCATATCTATTTGAGTCTATAAGGCCCACCTCCTGATGCAGTCCAATACAAGGCCCAAGAGCACTGGCATGTCCCATTGTCGTCATAAGGCCTCCCTCTCTACCTGAGCACAATCCACAGCAGGGGTTTCATTTATCCACAACCAGCATGCATGGGTGCTGTAATTGTGACAGAGATGCTGTAATTTTCAGACCAACCTCCCATCTCAGGGCCTCACCGTGCTGGGGAGCTGCAGCCCTGCGGTGCCTCCGGGCAGATAGCTGAGCATCTCATCATTGTAACTGGACTCCAGGCTGATGATCTCATCAATGACATCATCAATCTGGGAGAAAAAGTAAATATTGTACGGGGTTAGAAGAATCTGGGAGGGGAGTGTGGGACGGTTGGCTGCAGCCTCTTACCTCCTTTTCTGAGCTGGAGCCAATGGTGAGCAGTGCCATGGGACTGTTGGGAGCACTGCCTGTGGGGCCGGTAGCATGGGCAGTCTCAGGGGCAGGCAATGGCTGGGCACTCGTGGGCCCTGGTGGTGGGGTGAGGGCCTGGGAAGCCAGCTTGGGCCCAAGTGTGGTAGACAGGTACTGTTTCACCTGCTGCCGGCGTGCCTGCTGCAGGTGGTAGCGCGTTGGGTTCTCTAAGTGGGTCTGCACCTGTGGGATAAAGGGGACAAGGAGGGAAGGGGACAAGGTAGAACAGAGCTCAGGAGGGTGACTCTGAGTCCCGGCCTGACCGTCCTAACTTACATCTGTTCCTAGGCTCAGGTGGGCAAACCAGGCCCAGAATTTGAGAACCCCACAAAAATGTTGGTGAGTCTCCGCCAGGACCAAAACGCCCTTTCGCAGAAACCCTTCACAGCCCCCAAGATCAGGGCCGGCCCCGTGGCTCACTCGGGAGAGTGCGGTGCTGACAACACCAAGGCCACGGGTTCGGATCCCATATAGGGACGGCCGGTTTGCTCACTGGGTGAGCGTGGTGCTGACAACACCAAGTCAAGGGTTAAGATCCCCTTACCGGTCATCTTTAAAAAAAAAAAAAAGACAGCCCCCAAGATCCACCCATGGCTGACAGGATCCCTCGCAGTTTCCGGAAAACCCTGTCACAATCCTCAAGACTCCCTGCTAGTTTCTGACACCTCCTAACAGACCTAGGAACCACATATGATGGCTTCCCAAGACACCCTAATGGCCAAAGAACTCCTAATGTATCTCACACACATGAAGCTCTTCCTACAAAGCCAGGGCCCATTCAGGGCCCTCTGGCTCACTCGGGAGAGTGTGCTGCTGATAACACCAAGGCCACGGGTTCGGATCCCATAAAGGGATGGCCGGTTTGCTCACTGGGTGAGCGTGGTGCTGACAACACCAAGTCAAGGGTTAAGATCCCCTTACCGGTCATCTTTAAAAAAAAAAAAAAGACAGCCCCCAAGATCCACCCATGGCTGACAGGATCCCTCGCAGTTTCCGGAAAACCCTGTCACAATCCTCAAGACTCCCTGCTAGTTTCTGACACCTCCTAACAGACCTAGGAACCACATATGATGGCTTCCCAAGACACCCTAATGGCCAAAGAACTCCTAATGTATCTCACACACATGAAGCTCTTCCTACAAAGCCAGGGCCCATTCAGGGCCCTCATGACTCTCCATGGTCCACCAAAACATCCTCATAGCCCCCAAGAACCCCTCACAACTCCAGAACACCTCAGAAACTCTCAGCACATGGGACACAAGCACAGACCCTTCAAACAGTACAAGGGACCTTCCTTAGGGTCCCTAGGGCCTCTCCCAAAAGCCATCAGGAATCCCAGGCCACCCCTAGCTCCTAGGCCCACTCCTCAGTCACTAGGAGCCCCCTCCCAGGGCCTCTGGGCCTAACATTACCTTAAGCACCTCCCTAGGCACCTGAGCAGGGGGTGGACGGCTTAATGTGTGGCCCCCAGCAGAAACGCCAACCACAGAGATGGCAGGAGAGGCAGGTGCAGGACTGGGGAAGGGAGTGGCTGCAGCCTGTTCTTGACGCTCACGCCTCTCCTGCTCTTGCGCCTGGGCCCGCATCAGCTGCTGTCGCAGCAAGACACGCGACGAAGAAGATGATGACATGGCAGGGGTCCTGGAGCCCCCTGCAGAAGACGATGCAGAGAGTGTAGCTGGAGTGGCTGGGGTGGCTGGTGTGGCCTGCAGTGATATTGGGAGGCTGTGGAATGGGAAATATGGGGCCATAGGTAAGCTAAAAGTCTCATCCTAAGCCTAAGGGGTCACAGTATGATGGAGCAGACACAGGAACCAGGCCTGTTTTCTGCCTTCAGAGGCCACAATGCGGAGGGGAAACATAGGAACCAGGCCTGGTCATGGCCCTCAATGGTCACAGTCCGATGAGGGAGACAATGGAACCAGACCCGGTTCCAGCACTCAGAGGTCACAGTCTGGTGGGGGAATTTTCACCCTCAGTCCTTACAGTGAAGCCTAGATTTGAGCCTGTTCATATATTAAGTGGATGTGCCATTGCTAGGCTCTGTGAGAGGGGCTTATCCTATTTAAAGAAGAGAAGAGGCAGACTGAGAGGCTGTGGCAGTATAACGTGGATGCAGAGGGCTCCTAAGTCCAATTAGGGGCTGGAGATGCTCTCTGAGCTCCTGGGGGTGGGCATCAGGCTACATGAGCAGCCCCAGTTCCCCCTTCTTCCCCTGCTTAGGCCTCTGGTCCCAGGAGCCAGTCAGTTTTGAAAATCTGAGAGATTTCACAATCCTCTCTTCCTGCCCCTCTTCCAGGTCCCCTCCCCTCTCTTAAAGCCCAGGCCGATGACTCAGCACATTTAGACTTCCAAGCTGGGGGAAAGAAGAGACCAGCAGGGTTCCTCATGGGCTGAGGGTTGGTGAGTTTGTAGAGTGTGGGAGGGGGCTGAGCAGGGGCTCTGTGTATGGCTCTACCCACTTGGGGGTGGGAGCTTAAACAGGTCTCCAGGCAGCTGGAATATCTGTGTATGAATGGGTATGCAGGTGGAGTGGGGAGGTAGGGGAGGTCTTGTCAGAGATACTAGAATCCTAGCTTGGCCACCTGCTTTCCTGTGTGACATGCTCTTTCTGGCCCTTAATTTTACCACCTGGAAAATGCAGGCTGGTGAGAAGATGGATTGGGCTGGCACTGAGGGCCTTTGCCCATCAAGGGGAGGCGCTGAGGAATTGAGAGGAAAGTCAGATAGGTGAGCCATACCTTGAACGTAGGGGTAGGGGTTGGCTTTTGAGCTCGTAGAAGCTGTCAGGATCAAGGATGTTTTCTAATTCAATGTCAGCAACAATCCCGGATTCCGGAAGCAAAGAGTTCAGGCTGAGGGTAGGAGGAGGTAGGGGTGGTGGTTAGTGACTGTAGGGAGATCTCATTCCCCTCCCCTCTGGGGGGAGGGGAGTGAGAGAGAAGAGAGAGAGGGAGGGGGAGGAGAGGGAGAGAGAGAGAGAGAGAGACCCCCTCCTATTTCGCCACCCTGCTGGGTACCACCACCTTGAATTCCCAAGTCCTCTCCCCACCCCCCATTCCCCTCCCCACTTTTGCATGCTTTGTGTTACCCACAGTTTCTTAAGCATCAGAATAATAAGAGTGCCCGGATCCCAACCCTCTTACCCTAACAATCACATGTAACAACAACCTGGGTTTGAGGAAAATAGAAGAATTTAGGAATGACAATTCACTTTACATAAGGATTCCTGACTTTGCATTAAGAGTTCTCCCAGCCCCCCACCCCCTACTGTTTTCCTGGCGGCTGAATGTGAGCCCACATATGTACACACACAGAGCAATGGGGGCATCCCGCAGCCTAACAGTCCATTGTAACACAAACTGAATGCATCACAAAGAGAACTGGGCTGGATGATTCACTTTACATAAGGATCTACCACCTCACAAATGAGTTTTTCCCAGCCCCAGCCAAAGTTCATGGGATGCCAACACACACTCAAATATGAAAATGGAAATATCAAAGGCTCCCCTTGCTCCAACAGTTTAGATTTACAAGAGGGAGAATATGGGTGGATGATCCGCTTTATACGGGTATCCTTTTCTTAGCCAGAGGAGAGGGGAAACAGAAGAACCAGGCCTGGTCATGGCCCTCAGTCTGATGGGGGAGACAATGGAACCAGACCCGATCCTCTCCTGTTTTTTGGATAGATCAAAACACACACACACACACATACACCCTCAACACCAGCACTCACTGGCACACAAAACAAGAAGCCATGTACACCTCTCTCTTTCAACTATGCCCACTACTATGGTGATCTAGGTTGCTATAAAGGAATTAGAATCGATATACAAAAGGCGCCTACTCAGCCCTCCATGCTGGATGCGAGGACCACAGTGTGCAGGGGACACTAACACACACGTGGGTTAACATGCATCCTTGAATTTAGTCAAAGATTTAGAATACTGAGAGACCGTGGGTGACTTTACTTGAGAAGAATTCTCTCCCCTCCCCAGGGATGTATCTTCCTTCCTCTCCTCACCCTCAGACGGGGCCCTAAAACCACCCAGGAAGTCGGGAAGAGGAAGCTTGGGGAGAGCTGAGCTCAGCACAATCCCAGGCAGAAAGGAGGCAAACCCCACCCCCCACCCCCATTACACAGAAATTGGAAGAGATGGGCACTGGGGTGGGCAGGGGTGTGGACAGAGAGGGCTGAGGCTCCAAATCCCGTTGATGGAAGTGAGGATGAGAAAGAGGCCAGAGAGGACCCACCCAGACAGGGATGGTGCAATCAGTACTCACTCCAGCTCCAGGGACAGATTGAAGACCCCCCCGATAGGAGGGCAAGATAAAAAGGGGCATGTGGGTAGGGAGTGGGCAGGGCTGGCTGAGAGGCTAGGGCGGATGGCAGGAGGAACAAGACCCTCCTCTGGGTTCCCAAATAAGGTCTGAGGCCTTCTTCTCTGAGCTAAGAGGTAACATCATCTTTATCCCCTGTCTGGCTGTCTCCCATTCAAGCCCCAATAAGGTGTGGGAGGAGGGGTTTTCCACTATCCCTGAGATCTGCCCCAGCCGGGTGGGTGGCAGCTGAAAGGATTATTCTGGTCAAGTCTTGCTGAATGTTGCTTCTCTTGCTCATTCACACACACTCACAAGGCTGGACCCACACAACATATCTGAGATACCCCCAAAGTCCTCCAGATTCATGTTATCCCCAAACAAAGCAACCAGCCACTGGGAGTCACTAAGCTCCCAAGATAGCACTTCTGTCCCCCAGAACTCCTTCTTCCACACTGAAGGAAAAAGATTACAGGATTCCCTTAAAATCAGTGCCTCACCTGGCAGTGTACCCTCAAATTCATTCCCCTCATGACCAACTGAAGGACCCCAAATTCAGTCTCTAATCAGAGTCCCAGTCTCCCAAGTTCACCTACCGCAGACCAGTTTCTGGATACTACAAAATGAGCTCCTCTACCCAAATCAGACCCCCCCTTAATGAACTCCCACGACTCCTTTAAGCCTCAGTCTAAGCAGGCTACCGCCAAATTCCTTAGGTGCCCCCCCAAGACAGGCGCCCCGGCGTCCTCCAAGCCTAGGCCGAGGGCCTCCAATCCCTGTCCGGGGCCCCTGTTGCCCCCAGATCAGGCCCCTGGGAACCCCAGTCGGCACTCCCGGCCCCAGGGGGCCCCGCACCTGAGCAGCTGGGCCGAGTCGGCCGGCCTGCGCTCCTCCAACAGCACGAACACGGCTCGAGGGCCCTCCGCGTTGGCCTCTACGCCGTCCCGAGCTGGCTCGGCTGCATGAGACATGACGCCCGGCCCCGGGCGAGCCCTGCCAGGCCGGTCGGACCTCGGCCCGGTCCCCCTAACAAAATAAGAGTCACCCACCCCCGCTCGCCACTGCCTCCTCCTCCGCTAAGCCATGGAACTAGCTCTGCGCGGGCGGGCGGCGTCGGAGAGATGGGATGGGCGGTGAGTCATCTCCCGCCCTAAACGGACCGACACCCCCAACCTAACCCCGGACGACCGCCCTCCTCCCTGTCGTCCTCTTCCCCCTCCTCCCTGGGCTGGGGAAACTCCACAGGAAATGACCACACCGGGGATGGACGGCTCGTCGGGCCCACCCCTTGAATGAGGTGACCAATCGATGCAAGGTAATTCGAGAGCCCGCCCTAAGCCGCGCCTCCGACTCGGAGGGAAATCTAGATTCGGCCCACCCTCATTAGGAGAAGGGCACCTAGGCCACGCCCTCAGTGGCAGAGGCAAATAGGTGAGGCGTAATTTGGTTGAGTTCCGCCCCCATGTTGCGTCACTTTCTAGCCACGCCCCCTCCTCTCAAATTATCCCTCCGCAAAATAACCCGCTCCTTGTGTCCTCTGCGCCTGCGCACCAATGGCCAGTTGGCGGGCTGAGGGGCTCCAAACCGAGCTTTTAGCTGCGGAACCGCGCCCTCTCTCGGCCAGTATCCGTAATATCTGCGCCCAGCCGCGCTCCAAACTTGATCTAGCCTTTCCCACTCAGCCAAAGCTATAACTATGAGGCAGAGGCAGCTACATTCCCTGGAGGTGCGAGCCAGAAACTCCGCCCTTTCGGGAGCCGTAGCCCAGCCACGAGCTGGTTTTCCTGGGAGCGCTCCGTCTGTTCTATGCCATCTAGAGCGTTTGTCGTACTCTGGTCGGTCGTTGTTCTACTCAATAGACTCTTAACAAATCCCGGACAAAGGGATGAATGAGTCTCCTTTTGGAATCATGAAGATCCAGGTTTGAATATGGCAGAGAACCTCCGCTTTCCGAGCCTCAGCTTTCCTGGCCTGTCAAATGGGGCTCATAATACCTATCTGGCAGGGTTGTAATGAGGATTAGAGATGATTTATGAAAAGTGTTAGCAGGTTGTTTGGCATACAATAAGTTCTCCAAAAAGTAATTGATTCACTTATTTGCTCACTGATTCAACATTTACTGAGCGCCTCTGTGTGCCAGATACATGCAAACCAGCTTGCACACAGCCGAGGGTTCCACCCATATCTTCAGATGCATATAGCTCACAAAACACCGGGACCCACAACCTTCCCTTCCTCCTTGCCAGCATCTCAAGAACCCCCCTTCAGTTAGAACTTTGGGAACATCACTGGACTCGCATTTGCCTCACAACTTTCTGTACTGGCACCCTTATTTCGCAGGTCAACCATCTTGTAGAAGGGGAGACCTTCTACATAATAAAGATGACAGTACTTCCCCAAATTAATCTTTAAAAAATCAATATATTACCAATTAAATTTCCAAAATGGAATTTGTAGACCTGATGTTAAAATGCCTATGGTACCTTTTTAAAAAATTTATTTATTTGTTTTTATTGAATCATAATTGATTATACATATTGGGGGATTCAATGTTGACACATGTCGATCGAATCAATATTACTAGTATGTATATTGTTACAAATTGTACTTATTATTTATGCCCCTTGTCCAATCTCTCCCTATCCCCCTCTTCCTCTCCCCACTCACCCCTGATAACCCTAGATTTCTTCTCTCCCTCTGAAAGAGTAATGGTTACTCTGTTGATTTGTTGCCTAGATGATCTGTCCAATGCTGATAGGTGTGTTCAGGTCCTCCAATATTATCATAGAGCAGATGCTTCTTCTGTCACTCTGGAATGGGTTTTGTGGAGAGAGACATCCTCTTTGGTCTCTGCTGGTGACTCTCCTTTGTGTCAATGCACTCCAGTGGCTGGTGGACCATCTGTGTGGTGGTTGTGACATCTAGACACTTTCACAGCAGCTGTGGTTACTGTGGTGGCTGTCATGGACCACCCACACGGAGGTGATGTTTTTGGCATGCTCCTTGGCGCTGGTGGTGTGCCTGGTTGTGGGTGGGTCTGGTCCCCAGCTCTATGCATCAGGACTCTGGGCAGGCCCTGAGGTGCTGGTATTGTGCCTGGTTGTGGGTGGAGGTCCGGTCCCTGCTCCAGACTTCATGTCCACTGGCCGGCTTGGTGGTGCTGGTGGTGTGCCTGAGCCTGAACTAATTTTTTGTCCTTTGCCTACTTCTAAAACGGGGAACTTCCTGTGGGAAGCAGTACTTGAGATGGGTGGTTGAGGTAAATTGCTGCTTTGCTGCTGTTTCCCTAGGGAAGGATTTTTGTGCAGCTCAGGGTTTAATGGTTGACCTTAGAGGTACTTCTGGCTCTCCAGAGACCCAGTGCAACTGGGTTGTGTAGACACTCTGATCTGGGCCTGAGTTTTTTCATCAAACTGCATCCCATACAATTCTGCATTCCTGACCAGTCTCCTCTGCGTGGTCCTGCGCTGATTGGGGACTGGATCAGCTGTCCTTGCTGTGCCCCAGTGTTCTCCCGGTGGGAACATCTCCCCCACCGCCTGTGCTCCAAACACTTCCCGTGGGACGGGCCCTGCACCGGTCCCTTGCAATGACTCACCAGCCTCTGAATGGCTCCCTTTTTTCAGCTTTTTTGCCTCCTTGCTCCTGCGTGGGTCCACAGGAACCCTATTAGTGGTCTTGTTGTCCTGGGGGTTGCCAAGGCCCTCTTCTCCCCTGCCGCCTCCAAGTAACTCCATCTGAAGGGCACAGCTGCGTCTTCTTGACCGGAACTTCCCATGACACTTGCTTTCTCATCACATACCCTGCACAATATGCCCGCCCCCATCTTTCTCAATTTCTCTCTATTAATCTCACCCTCTCAACCTTCTCAATAGCCTCCCTCTGCCACCATGTAGATAGAGTTTCACTGGATGAAGAGGAGATGAGGAGGGAGGAGGGAGGGCACTTGGATGGTGAAGTTGGGGGTATTTAGGGATAGATATGAGTGGTGGTGCTCTGTTGGGTAAAAAAATGACTTTCTGTTGAGTCAAAAAAAAGTGGTAGTGATTGAGCGTGGCTTGAGGTGAGGTTGGGGTCTATGACAGTACAGTTTGCATGCAATTGAAGGATCACGTGAAGGTCTTTGGCAGGAATGGGGCTGCTAGAGAACAGTTTTAAGAATGCAGGTACAAGCTATTGTAGGGTGGACTGGGAATACAGTTGGGGACTGGAAGATGGTTTGGGGTGCAGTTGGAGGGACTATAGGAAGATAGTGCATGTTTAGGGACAGAGCTGGGTCTTCTGTAATGTAGTTTAAGGAGTAGAGCTGTTAAGTTTCATAGGATGGTGTGGTAAGCTAAATAATGGACCCCCAAAAGATCTCTATGTGAACCCTGAAACCTATGAATGTTACCTTATATGGTAAAAAAAAAAAAAAAAGGACTTTGCAGATGTGATTAAGTTAAGGATTTTGCGATGGGGAGATTATTCTGGATTATCTGGGTAGACCCTAATTGTACTCATGAGAGTCCTTATATGGCCAGCCACCAAAA